ACAGAATAATCTAGCCCAAATGTACAAGTGCCGATGCTGCTATTTTTCTTGCGTTCATTATATCTCGGTTTAGGTTCAAATCATATATGATCTTACTAAGGTAGATCAGCCCAACATGCTCATAGTATAGAAATGAACTAGAACTTATTATTGGATAGTTTTAACATTCAACATAACAGTCCTGGACTGGCATTCGCGTAAGAGAACACTGTTCGCTATATGATCAAGTCGTCATTGGCTTTCTTCTTTACCTATATAAATGAATGTTCGAGATATATCCGGTGATTGCAATGCCTTAACTGTTATAGTGTTCAGAATTCTTCCAAAAAATTGTTGTGTTCTAATTTGATATATTTGGCAGTAAAGAATGTAATTGGAATCGAAACGGACTTCTAGATCTTTTTGTTATGTTGTTGTTGTTAGTGTTCTTTTTCTTGTTGTTGTTGTTGCTGTGGAAGAATCGCTTTTCCGGCCAATTTCTGAACAATCCAACTACCGGTCCAATTGCCTTGAACTTAGTGGTTAAAGATTGTTATTGTCGGTAGAAGGATATAAATTTTCTGTGGGCCTATATCTGACTCATTTTCACATTGAAATTTTTTGTGATGACGCCTTCAAAATTAATTATTTGTAGCGGTTCTGCGACCTCTCTCATGCTACGCAAGAGTCAAACGCTTTTCGATTGTTGATTAACGGTCGTTGTTATCTAGTGGTTACTCGGGAAGACTGCGGTACCGGTAGTCTAATGTGATTGCATACCTGTGTCCACATACTTAAGCATTGCTGTCTTGTTAAAAGGTTAAAATTCAAATAAAAAGACATCAATTCTTATTTCCCGTGTTTTTTTTTCAAATAATTTTAATCGTAATTATTTCGTTTGAGCAACTTTTTTAACATCTATGTGCCAGGTTCTCCATTTTTCATTAATTATCTAAAAAATTTAAATTAAAAAGATATATTTTCGTTTTTATTTATCCATCGATTAAAAAATTACCCGACGTGTAGTATTGATCGAAGCCTTTGTGTCTCGTCTGGAATTATCCTGGATAATTAAAACTCAGTTTCGATCGATTAAGAAATTTTTAAATTCTCAGTTTTGTTTCTAATTTCTCGCGATTATTTTAAATCTAAGGTTTCAAGAAAAATATTTTTTGATTTAAATTTTCGATAATATTATTCAGGACGACGGACGTCTTCACCTTAGGACATAAGGACAGTGTTGTGCAACCTTTAATACAGGAGAGCCAGATACAAATAACTGGGTAAAACCGCGGGCGCACTTTTATTTAACATATGCTTTCTAGTAGTTGCTGTTGCAGGCACAAAAGTTTTAAATGTTAATCTGATGACATGCGGTGTTCGCTTCGCACAAGCTAACTGTTAGGGCATTGTAACGTCATAGATAATAAATTGGACTAAGGTATATCTTTGCGACGCAAAGGGATCGGAATTACTTGCACGTACCAGATTAAACCAAATTAAAAACTCGTATTGCGGGTCGCACACCATTTAAAATTGGCGCTTCTCCGCGGGCTGCGCTATTTTCCTTGTGAGCCGCTTTTGGCCCGCGGGCTACAGGTTGCCCATCCACACCACTGCCTTAAAATAATCTTGCTGTTCTTGTTGTTAAGATTGTCATTGTTGTGAGAAATCATTTTTTCGCATACTAAAACTAAACTAAAATACCCATAGATTGGGTAATATCTAATTTGTCTAAATTTCGAGTCTCAGCATAAATAGGTCTGTCCAAATCAGTTTTACCATAAAGTTTGCATTTTATGACTGCTGTGATATGATACCTATGATTTTCTGACTTGGTTAGTTTACGAATTAACAGTAAATAAAAAAGTTGAAGCCGCTATTACAGGGGTTGGCGAGGTTTTTGGACCAGGGGCAAAAAATGTTGCCCAACTAGACTGGCGGGCCATGAACGGGCCATTTATGAATAATATTTACAGTGTTACAAAAGCAAAATTAGAAACCAATAAGCCTCGTGTCAAAACTAAATTAAATCGGAATCTTAACAAATTCCTTGAGCTATTTTTAACTAGAACAATAAAATTTGGGGTTAGTTTGGTTATGGTAGCATTGGGCAAGCCTGATTCAATTACTCAGATTCATTATCTCAGCGGGTCAGATTTGGCTCGCAAGTCGTTTGTTTATGAAGCCGATAGGATGCGGCAACAATTTTTATTTTCTAAAAGTATCCGGATTTGCACGTCCATATATTTCATTCAAATTTTTGCTGTCTTATTTTAATTCGTGTAAACACTTTTTTATTATCTTTGACCTCCATATATTTGATCAATGTTCGTTTATTGGACACGAAGTGTACACATGAATCGTTTTGTTCTTTTTCTCGTTGTTGGTATTTTCCTCGTATCGCAATCAATGGACCAATTGCTTTTAAAATTGTATTTTCCGCTAGAAAGCAATTATTTTTATGTATTCCTAATCGATGGGCGGCTTATATATGGTATTTTATTTGAGTAATTTCAGTTTTTTGTCGTGTATTTCGCCCAGTTTAGTGTTTTGTTTTAAAAATGTCAAAAATTATCAAACATTGCATTGTATAAATTAACCGCATCTTATGAAGCATAAGCAAGCGGCTTCCAACTCTTCTATCAGGATATTTTAGCTGAGAAAGTTCCAGGACTTACTTTAGTAAATTGTACTTTTCTTTCAATTACTTTTTTGTATTTCGTCCGATTTGACGTTACAAAATCGCCGTTTGCTCAGTGTTCTCACGTTTAAGAAAGGAGTCGGTCGAGTCAATGCTTTCTGTAGGAAATCCGAGTTCTTGCTTCGAAAAAACAAGAAAAGTAGCGATTTCAAACTTAACGCGCTCCAAAAGATGGCGTAGACAATTGCTGAGAGGGCGTGAAGCTAATTAAAAATAAAAATATTTGTTTGACTTGATCTTGTTGCCGTATTTTGGATATTTACATTTCTTTATTTAGTTTTTACGTTCCATCTACGCATTTTCAACGTGTTTTTGTATAAAACATGCTTTCGGCATACTATCTGTTATTTGTGGCTTATCGTTGACTAATTATTTTTGGGGTGAGGCGCAAAATTTGACAAATTCTAAAAAGGCGTGACTCAATAAGTTTGAGAATCACTGCTTTATGGTACACAACACTTCGTTACATTTTATTTATTCTCCACAGATTTTTGTTCCAAATTTTTCTTAAAAATCGCCATAGACTCTTAATGTTTACTTTAATGTGGTATGACACATGATTTCTCGATATTTGGAAACACAGCGGACCACTCAGGAATATTGCAGTCTGAAATCCGGCCGTTACGGATACCTTTAGCGGATAGACTTAGTATAACTGGTAGACGGAGTTCACTTCCAACCGGATCTACTGCATATAACCGGATTACAACAAGACAATCGGATAGAGGTTACGGATTTCCGGATTTTCCGGATAGTCACAACCAAACAATCGATCTGGCTTCCGCAGTATCGTACCGGACTCAGTCATCACAATACCACACGGGGCAGCAGCAATATTTTCATAACCCCAACCCGGAAACGGGGGTTGTTTTCCAGGATCCATCCACATTAGCGGGGTATACATCTTACCCGCTGGGGCAGAACGCATTTACAAGGGGTTTGAAAGCCCAACATGAAAATTTAAAGAGGAGTTACAGCACAGGAAGTTCGGAAACTTCACGTTTTTTTACTTCTGGGCCTGCGCCACATACCGGGAGCAATATTGATCGTTGGGGCCGCACGGACCCCACTTTGGCGTTCCGGGAACGGGGACATTGCGCTTCTGTTGACGAAAGCGTGCTGAGTGCCGCTGAGCGTCGCCAGAGACTTCGTAACCAGCACAGCGAGGGGGACTAACGGCAGACGACATTGCTTTTCTTGGTAGCCAGCAGTACCACACCCCCCAAAATCCCCAATTTTTGTCCTCCCACCATCACACACAATTACTTCAAAACATTGTTGGGAGTATCGGAAATTTCGCTACCTCGGGGAATTTCCCCTCCCCGACTACAGCATCTCTAGCTCCCCCTACAGGGGGCGGGTCTACAGCCGCAAACTTAAGCGTAGCAGCTGTGGCGGCAGCGGCGCAAAGATACCCGCAGTTATTAGCGGGACCGGCTGCAGCGGCGTTAGCAGCGGGAATTGGGTCTTCATCTTCCCCTAGAACTAATCTAACAGACCCCGGGGTCCTGGAAGTTGCTACATTGTCCCAGTTCCAACACAAACAGCCCCAACAAGGGTATTCCCGCCCCGGGGAAGAGTTTGTTCACCCCTCGCTGCATTACCACCGGCACAACAGTGCTGCAGGTATAAGCCCCAACACTGCGGCAGCAATGCTGGCCTACGACACACCGCCCTACAGCTTCTGCTCTATCCAGGTGATGCATAACATCAAAATATATAAATATACATTTTTCAATTTGGTACCCGTAATACATTTATATTTTCGTAAAAAAGTGCCTGTTTCGGCCGATCCATTTCTGATCAAAATTAAACAAGCTCGCAACCTAACGTCACTTGAGACGTGACTCGATTTGACTCTTGACTCGATTTTACTCGGAGTCCAGAGATCAAAAATGATTAGGAGAACAATGGGTGCTCCCGAAGTATGCGAACCAAGATGGCGGACATCGGAACGTAACATGGGTAACAGGTTAGGGTTAGGCGATAATTTTTTTCCAATTTTCCTTATTTTAGTCCTATTATCAGTTCGAATACTAGCCAAAAGCCTCCCGTAGTCTTTATACCTAAAATTATGGCCTAACCCTAACCTAGTACACATATTACATTCCGATGTCCGTCATCTTGGTTCGCATACTTCGGGAGCCCCGAACAATGTATATATTGCATCCTCTCTTCTGGCAAGTCATATTAAAATGAAAATTCACTTGATTCATTGTATGTATACCTGGTATAATGTGCCAGATTGTGACTCGTACATGGACTAAATCAGGGGCAAAATACAAAGCCCTTAAAATTCCATAATTTCCTATTTCAGGACGAATTTCACCCGTTTATCGAGGCGCTCCTCCCTCACGTGAAAAGTTTTGCTTACACTTGGTTCAACCTGCAAGCTAGGAAAAGAAAATATTTCAAAAAACATGAGAAACGAATGAATTCCGAGGAAGAGAGAGCAGTGAAAGAGGAATTATTGCATGAAAAACCAGAAGTGAGTTTTTTTTTTCAAACGCTTCTTCACTCAGAACAAGGCTCTTTATAAGCGGTCACTAAAAGCCACTATTTTTGAGCGGGTTAAAGTTCACCTTAAAGTGTGAACCTGTAAGTACAGTCCCAAACCCGGAAATAAAATCTTGAACCCGGAAGGTATAAATCAATTTTTTGTTTTTTTATTTTGCTGCCGCTGAGTTGTTGATGGTGTTAAATTTAACCCTCAATCTTGAACCCGGAAGTGTGAGCACACCCAGAAACACAATCGGTATTCCGTGAACATGTAGTTACTACATGTGGTAGGTTGTATTTTACTTACGCTGCATTATTACCGTGCTCAAATTTACCTTCAATCTTGAACCCGGAAGTGTAAGCACAAACCCGAAAACACAATCGCGATCCCGTAAAAACTTAGTGAGTTGTATTTTTGTTTTCTATTTTACTTACGCTGCATTGTTACCGTTTTTTGTTTCTTGAATTTGCTATCGCTGAGTTGTTGATGGTGTTAGAATTAACCCGGAAGTGTTAACCCAAACCCGGAAATACAATCGCGACCTCGTAAATACGTATTTCTGCTCTCAGTTTTACTTACGCTGCATTGTTGCCGTGTTCAAATTTACCCGGAAGTGTGAGCCATAACCCATGAACTCTCTTGGAAAAACTCTAACTTCCGAGAAAAGTTTCGTCATACTTTCTCCGCGCATTCAAATTGAACATTTTCCTTTTCAAAGGTTCAACAGAAATGGGCATCACGGCTTCTTGCAAAACTTCGGAAAGATATTCGACCCGAATTTAGGGAGGATTTTGTCCTGTCAATCACCGGAAAGAAACCGGTTTGTTGTATTTTGTCCAACCCGGACCAGAAAGGAAAAATCCGGAGAATAGATTGCCTGAGACAAGCGGACAAGGTATTCATTTTTTTTGAGTGGTAGGGGGTAATTAAATTAAATTAGGGAGGGGGGGGGGGTTAAAATCGACTAGCAGACAGAGAATTGTTTAGGCGGTTTCGAATTTTTGAGTGTTATATAATGTTTTGGAGGTGAGAGGTGTATTAAGGGAATTCTGAGAATAAATTGCCTAAAACAAACAGACGAGATGGGATTGGAATTTTAGGAGTAATGCTAAAATTTTAATTTATTTGGGGGAATTGGGTTTAAACATTAAAACATGTTTCGTTACCATGTATATGCATTTTTTTCTGAGCATGTATTTTGTATCCATCTTCCAATATCAGGCAGAGTAGCAGTAGTAGCAGAGAATTGTTTGGGCGGTTTTGGTAATGATTCGAATTTTTCGGTTTCGGTATTTTTTGGAGGTGAGAGGTGTATTGAGGGAATTCTGAGAATAAATTGCCTAAAACAAACAGACAAGATGGGATTGGAATTTTAGGAGAGATTCTAAAATTTTAATTTAATTGGGGGAATTGGGTTTAAACATTAAAAAATGTTTTGTTACCGTGTTTATGCATTTTTTTCTGAGCATGTATTTTGTATCCATCTTCCAATATCAGGGACGTGTAATGTTTTTCGTCGGCTGGCTATCTAACTAACTCTAGACATCTAGCAGGCCACACAAATATATTAGTTTTTCATGAGAGCAATGAATTTGCACAATGAAAAAGCTATCGCTTAGCCTTACAGTATGTATTTTACCCATGTGAGTGCCTTTTCATACATAAAGGGTCGGATGGAAAATAATCCACGCTAAAAGAGCCACGCTGAATGACTTGGGGCTCCGATTCATGGCCCGCGGGCCGCCGGTTGCACACCACTGTTCTAAATTAACCCAAGATATGCAAAATAAGTAGTAGTTTCAGAAAATTAGTGTCAGAATAATACCACTATATCACCCGCCGCCTATTTCATACCAGCGGAGAGTATTTTCCAGAACCTCATGGCTGACGGTTGATGTGACTCTATATTCCCACAGGCCTTGATATTTGGCAACAAACAATTTTTAGGATAACCTGGCGGTTAGCGGAAATATAGTCTCCATCTCTACACATAGGACACGTTAGCGTTTAAAACGAACAGTTTGGTTACGAAAAATTTTGAAAACAGGAAAAAAAAAGTTTAGAAAATTAGTGGCAAAAATATCTCATTATCGAGCGAGTGAAACTGGAACAACAGGATCCTAAACGTTCCTACATGGCCGATTTCTGTCGGTGGATATTGTTAAGCTATCTTTGTTAGACTTCCACATAGATGACGGTTTATCGCGTCTTACTTCACGCTGAAATACATCATTTTCATTTTACCTCACTGTTTGTACTGCATTTTCGGTATGTGGAAAAATAAATTACTTACTGACAAACAGCACTTGTCGCCAATTTCAACCCAGAACCACATCAGCCGCATTCGCAACCTCATGGATTTCCAGCCAAAATTTAAACCACAGTTACATGAGGGCCACAGTAGATCGAACATAACTCGGCAGAAATCATTTCCCCGACTTGGCTGACAAACTGAAATCGTCGACGCCATTTTGTTCAATGACGGTTGGGATATAAAAAGAATGAATAAACGAGTGTCTATTTTCGAATTTGTCAGCTATTCTAGAATTTATTTGGGAATAATACTAGCTATGAAAGACTTTATGAAATTATCTTGGCCCATACTTTCCTTATGAGGTTGTTAGGTCAAGGAAGTCCACATTCTAATAGCTCTATGTTCAATATCAGGAATGGCAAACATTTTTCAATGAATGGGTCAAAAATGTCATTTTTATTGCCGAAAAGAAGACTGTGAGTCATAGATGTTTCATCAATGTTTGCATCGATAAGAAACTTTCTGCTGCAACATTTTCCTCGAGTCTCATAATATTTGCCTGGTATTGTGTAGTCTTGGACCTCAATAGTAGTTCACTTTTTGTTGCCTATAGAATTGAGGCGAATTTTAAAATCAACTCCTATCGTATTTTAGTGTGTTTCTGGCATTAATTCGTGATTTGGTCACCGGAAAAACCCGATGAGTCACTTTTTTTACGGGTCGGGGGTCGGCATTTCTGTTCGAATTTTGACAACCAAAACTTTGGCGTATGTAAGACTCTTTGATTGTCTGTTCTGTGCAGTCCGTCCATTTTCAACCAATAGGCCATGGCCCATTTTCAGATGTGCCACAAACCTATTAAAAATTGTAGAGTTATTGATAAATTAGTTAAACTTTGATTGTAGTAGCAATCAATGATGATGCTGTTTTTTGCTACTGAGTGGTGATGTCATTCTAGTTATTAAAGTGAAAGAGCCCATATTGGCAGTATTTTTGTAGGTTGTAATTAATACGTCACGGAGTTTTTGCGCAACTAAAATAAGCCATGAAAGAAAAAAGTTGAGAACCGCTGACGTTGTCAATTTAATGCCCTTTTTAACTTTAAAACTAGAATTTTTATTCCGATTAGAATTATAAGAAATCCCGACTCGATAAAATTGTTTTTCAAGGCAGCTTCCACAACTCTCACCCTGAAAAGGAAATATTTTTTTTGATCGAAGGTCGCAAATATCGAGGACGAGGCCACAAGATAGGGTAGGAGCGTTAAATGGCTTGCTTCGATGACAACTAGAAACGGCGACTCAATAAAATTGTTTTCAAGTCAACTTCCTCAACCCTGATCATGCTTTACCTAATGTCATGACCAGAAAAAAATTAGTTTTTTTGATCGTGAACCGCGTATATAGAGGGAAAAGCCACAGAGAGAGTAACAGCGGTAAATGGCTGGCTACCAATTCCTAATTCAATAACTGAGTCTTTCTAGTTTGGCTGTTCTGACGCCTACAGACACATCGAGCTGTCATCAAGGAATTTAACATTTTAGCGTCTGGCGGAAAACTGGTCTCACTCCCACGAGACTTCCTCTCCCTTCGGCACATTGGCTGTTATCTCGTCAGCTTGTTCCCACAAAATATTTGAAAACCTTCCCACAATAATATTGCCCTCCCTAGGCGATAAAAAAAATTGTAAAGTTGAATGGCGTTGTATGGTATTCTGGAACTACCAAAATCGAATGTTCTAGTACAGTGGTTCTCAAACTTTTTCAGCAGCGCCTCTTTTTTAGAATTTGTCAAGTCTCGCACCCCACATCATAAAAAACTAGCTAACAATAAGCTACAATAAAACAGGCGAAAGTATGTTTTATTCCCGAAACACGTTGAAAATACGTGAATAGAACGGAAATATCCAAAATTAAAAATTGTAATTAGCCAAAATAAGGCAGGCAAGATCAAATCTAACAAATAATTTTATTCCTAATTAGCTTTACACCCTCTCAAAAAAGTGTCCACGTCCCCTTGTGGGTCGTACGCCAACGTTTTAGAAACACTGAACTTCTAGGCAGGGCTACTCAACTGGCGGACCACGGTCCGAATCCGGATCTTTCGGGTATTCGATTCGGACCGCGCCTAATTCTTTATTTCGGATCATTAGCCCCACTTTTGAAGTTTCCAATTATAAAATCACTTTTATATATTTAAATATATACGAAAAGAACTATACCGCCATAATAAACAATGTTGATTAGCTAATAATCATTAGTCGGCCGAGAAATTGCGCGTTTAGGGATGCGTAAATATAATTTCTGGAAAGACCGGACCCAAATATCTTTGAAGTTTTGTATGCGGACCTTCGGTAAAAATAGTTGAGTAGTTCTGTTTTAGTGCAGGGGGGACCAAACCCAGGCCCGCGGTTGTGAATATATGCTAACAATATAGGCATGTTAGAAAACTAAAAATCAAATGCAGATTCCATTAGCCTAGGTTGGCAATGCCTGATATCTATGTGTTTACACAATAGAAGTCCTTTGTTTTGTATTGCACTGTTTACCTTGGTACTATTGTGGCCCGCGACCAATGCCAAAATAATTTTGTGGCCCGCGGAGCCCACAACCTTGGACCACCCTGTTCTAGTGCATCTGTTTTCAAAGTGTTCTGTGATGGGCCCCAGGGCTTCGTTAGAGAAATGGAGGGGCTCCGCGGGCTATTCGTTTACTTATTAAAATACTGACTTGATTAAATTTGTAACTGTTCAAAGAAAAAATAACGACATTAATAAAATAAAACAACAATGTAATTCTAATATAACATAAGTTTTAATAGATAACAATGTTTAAACAATGAAGTTTTTAAATTTTATAAACTTATTGTGAGTCTACGTAAATAATAGTCATTCTTTTCGTAGGCTCCATAACACCAAAAGTTGGAGGAACCCTGATCTAATATTTTTTATACATTCTGAAGGAATATAGAGTACATTGGGTTATTCGATTTCTATTTAAATGTATTTAAATATTCTAATTTGGCCATTTTATATTCCAACCAATCTCAATGATCTGTTGTAGCGTGGGTTGGGATGTAGTGTGTGTGTGTGTGTGTGTGTGTGTGAGCGTGGCGAGGGTCTTGTTTTGAATTTTTAAAGTATTTCCAAACTGCAGTTGTTTGATTTTTTTTTCGAATCCTCCTGGATTTTGAATTTATTCTAGTTCGGCGTTTTTACACAATTATGTGTGTAAAAAGATTATTTCGTCTAAACCAGATGATCTCAAACGTTCACAAGAGAGGGGGGGAGTCAAACTTGCAATAGGCTTTCAATGCCATTCTGTATAATTCAACAGCCATTTTTATATTTCCGATTTTCTCATGTACAGCCCCTGCATTATGAATACAAGGACAATATAAGTTTGGACTTCATCTTCCCACTAAAATATCATGAGCTCGATCGCAGTTTTGTTGATTTCTGCAGATTTGCTATATTCACACGTAATTCTACATATAGGAGTCATTGGTTATTCAATCAATGAATTTGGGATTGAAATGGGATAGAAGTTACAATGAAGTAGAATCTAAAAAATTGGACGGAAGCCGTTACCAAACAATATACATTTCTAAATACATTTTTGCAATCGCAATTTTTCCTAATCT